TTTTGATGTTACTTCTGTTTCGTGGTCACTAAGAATATCTTTTAAATACTCATTACGAGTTCTTCTAGAATTATAATAAATCAGCTGTTTGATGAGGGACGTGCCAGACGTATCTGAAACAGACTTCTGAATGACCGAATAGCCGAGACGATAAAGATGTCAATCTACTGTTCTAGGGGAAACGAGATCGAATACTGGCTGGCAAAGAACTTCAGGAATTTTTCACGGACGGTCTGTCCCGGATTGAGTCTCGTTCTTCTCTACTCGGCCGCTTCCATTGTGGGTCTGATTAGACTCACGATGGCCCAATAAAAGATTTTCTTAGTGCCTACGTAACAGAAAGAGTAAAAAATAAAAATCAAACCTTGAAAAGTTCCTGAGAATTTGACTTGGATCGAATCCAATTTCTCAAACCGGCACGCACGCGTCATGGCTATTTCGGCCATGCTATTAATATTTTTGTATTTATTATATTTTATGTTTTTTGCGGAGCATATTTTATTTTACTTTTTCATTAATGCTGCAACATTATCTGAAAGTATTCCTCCTTTGGGTCACTTTCCCGAATCTTATTTCGTCGATTCCTGTAATGTCGTATTTCACTTGACAGTAGTAAAATATGAAGTAATAACTATTAATAGACTTATATAACGTTATTATGTAATATTTTGGTATTTAATTTTAATTTTTGTTATTTTTAGTACAGTAGAGCGTCAATTATCCGAAATAATTGAACGATTTCGGATAACCGGTTTTCCCGATAATCAATCACATCTAGAGGAAAGAATAAGAAGATAAATACCTTAAATAAAATATTCTATAAAAGTAGTAATCTTAATTGTAATACAATAACAAAAAAAAAAGTTAAGGAATGGAAATTTAATACATACGAATGATAAGAAATAACGAAAAAACTAATCTTATTCATTAAAAAATCACTAGTCTTTCCTTACAATCTACGATGTACTGATAAAACTTTTTACTTTGAACTCAGTTCAAAGTAAAAAACACATAATAGTAAAATTAATAATGAGATATCTCAACAGTAGACCTAAGGAAGACAGTAGGCAGTGATTACTAGTAAAAACTTCGTAATTTCTGGAATTTTTACTTTCTGAAGTTCATTTCGATTAATCGATTTTTCGGATAATCTACGCTCTATTTACTAATAAAATTTTCATTAGGAAAAACTATTCTTTCTAAAACTTTGCTTGAATTTTATGTAGCATATATACAGGGTGTCAAAAAATATGTAGGCCTACTCACTCTTTGATTGACCATTACTAATATATTAAGTTTTGATTTAGGTGTTTATTGAAATAAGTTCAAGTCTAATAAGTTAAATTAAAAGAAATTTAATTGAGACATTGCCTTTCAATATCTTCTTGAATTGATATCTTCTATTTCTTTTATTGGACTAATAAAGAGTGAATGCATGTTTTTGGGACACCCTGTATTTTTCTGGTAAATCACATCTGTTCATAAAATTATTTAAACGTTTGAATGACATAAAGTAAGAATTTCATTTAACAATTTTCATATTCAATCCTAATTATAGTAGAGAAAAGTTGGATAAGAGTGGGTACTTAGTTTAAAATTGACAAAAAGTCGCTATATTTTACCTAAACAATTCTGCCTTTTTTTCAGTACAGATTATCATCCGTTCTATATCGAAAGTGAAACATTTCCGCGCTATGGTTTTCCTTTTCCATTTTAAAAAGCGTTATTTTTTAATTATTATTATTATTTTTAAATTGCAAAGTACCCGTTTTAACAAACATGTATGATAAAACGCGTAGGAGGACTGATAAAACGGGGACACCCAGAAAAACTAACCAGAAAACTCTTATTTTTAATGCAACTTAAATGAAACTGTTCTATTTATAGTCGAAATACTTTCGATATACAATAAGAAAAGCTTTTTAGTTACTGTAAAATTAATAAGTTCTCGTTGCAAAATTCACAATTTTAGGTTGGAACGTCTGTGGAACGTTAAATTCCTTGCAAGCCTTCAGATAACCCATGTTTCTGGACATCACCGTACGAATGGCTCGCTTCTGACCAAAATTGTCAATTCGTTTTTCCTCGTTAATATTTAGACATATCTCTGATTTTAAAAAAGATAATATAAACTAGCGACAAACACAGCATGGTAAAATAGGATATTTTATGAACCTCATCGGTACCCCGTTTTATCAAATTGACAGCTAATTTGAAAAACTCTTTGCAACACAAAAAATTAGGTTTATATGACACATCAATTAGATGTGAAAAGATATCGTAAACAATACCTAATTTGATACTTGCATTCCAAAAGTTACTTTCTGTCAATGCTCTGATCAATTACAAAACAAAAAAAAATAGTCAACACAGTTTTAAAAAATCAATCGAAAAGTAGTGGTTTCATATTATTCACATTTTTTGTTATCAGGCCCACTGTTGTTCCCATTTAAGCTGGGTAATTTAGACTATATACGAAGTGAGTGTAGTGACTAATTATAGATAGTAGTGACTGGTTGCGACTACATAGTCAACTATGAGACTACAGTGAATAATTGAATTCATACATTAGTTCAAACAACAGATAGGGTTTTATGTGAGAAATATCTCTATGAGTTCTAAATTAAAGTTCAATTAAATAAGTTTAATTGAGAATATACAGGGAATTGAAACAAAACAACTTTTCTAGTTTTTTTCTAATAATAAAGAAGTAAAAAAAGTTTGCATATTTACATTATTTTCAAATTTTTAATATTATTTTCAACTTTTTCTTATCATAACGAAGTTAAAATCTTAACAACTTAATACTTCATTTTACTTAATTCCAAAAAAATATTAGTCAACACAGTTTTAAACATCAATCAGAGTTAGAAAGTGCTCTGAATTTGGATTTGATGCACTATTTCATTTCCGATTCATTTTTGATAGACAATCAATCTTCGTACACTTTCTGTTTCAGCTGGTACCAGGATCTATTGGACGCGGCGGTGGAACATTTGCAACGTAATGAACTCCATATTCCTCTAGTACAGAAACTATATCTGTTGCTTAATGCTTAATGCGAGTCCGGCTCAGAAGACATACAGGCTATCCGAGTGATGTTTCATGAGGAATAGGATCAGACTCTTAATACACTTCTTTATGTACACTTCTTTGTTGATGCGAAGGCGAGAGAGTGCTATGAATACTTGGAATTTTCCCTTTGAACTGATTGCTGCCCAAACCAATATTTTCTGAGGAAATTGTGTCTGACGTTATTTCACCTGTGGATCAATTCGAACCCATCCTTACAATAGTAGTTGTTGTTTTCAGTGCAGTCACTTCTATCAAAAGTAAAATACAGTTTATCGTCCATAACAATGTCTATTCGAAGCTTTGAAATTTCCACACTCATTTTTCGCAGCAATGGATATCTGGCAATCTCCCTGTCCCTGGACATCTAGTAATAGTCTTACTACTTTCCAGCCTTTTTATGATGCTGTAAACTATCCTTCTTGCCATCCCCATGTCCACAAAATGTTAAACTGTGAAGCTTCTTCCTTTCTTCATGCTGCTTGTAAAATTTCCAGCTATAATTTTACTTTGCTTTTCATTAAGCTGCTCCTTTTTATTTATGTTTGGAATATTGTCTCCATGACAACTTGAATTTAAATCTACGGAGTTCGAATAACAACGTTCCCACTAGCACGTTCCCAAATTTATTTATTTATTATTATATTTTTAAAATACCAAATATATCTGCCATAATTCTGCAAACTTTTAGTTTACATACCTATAAATATTAATAATAAAATCAATATTTACAAATAAATTTGTCACAAAAAGATCAAAATATTTTTAAGTTTAGATTATTTTATAAATAATTAAATTATTGAAAAACTAAATAACGATCATATTTGTTTTTTAAATGATCTAAATTATTATAAAAATATTATAAAGATACAGTAGTCCCTCGGTTTAAATAACAAAATATTTCTGTCCTAAAGAAAAAATTTATATATTTGTTTTTATTAATGGATAAAACACGCTAAAAGGTGGGTCAATAAGTCAATGTGTATAAGCTAAATTACTCAATGTATTGTACAGTACATTATAATTATATTTTATCCATGCTTATATAATATAGAACATTTTAATACATCCTGTACATTGTAATTTCGTTGTTAATATGTTTTTAAAACATTCGATTTCCCGAATTTTTAGTCTGTTAAATCGAGGACCCCTACTGTATTTTATTTCAAAAATTATTTAAAATCAATTATCAATTTTAATAATATCTCTTGTTTATTTGCTCACTTGTCAGTATAAATTATCTCATTTCACATTTCTTTCTCTTTCTTTTTTAATTTAAAAGTTTTAAAATACAGTATTCTATTTTTTATATTAACAATATCAGAAATTATGTTATAATACTAATACTAATACTACTGCACTACTAATAATAATGTATACATACATAATTATATAATTTCTATATTATTTACGTAATATAAAAATTATATTTGAATTACAATTAATGAGAAAATTATTTAAAAATTCAATAATTTTTTTAAAAAATTTAATGAGATTTATTGCATAATTTTTCGAGTAAATTCAATTATTCATTTATTTTTGTATCTCGTTACAAAAATGAATAAATAAATAATATAATAATAAGGCAAATATTCAAAGAAAATGCAATTCTATTTTGAAGATTTGTTTTCCATATAATTAATTTTTATAAGTGCTAAATATAAAATTACGTTTTTAAAGCAGAAATAACTCATTTTAAAGTAGTTAACTCGTATTATTAAATAAAATGTTAATATAATAAGTATAAAAACTGTTAATTTTTTTTTTCATAATTTACAAATCGCATTTGATGCATAAAATAAATATATTTAATTAATAATTCGTATCTTATTGACGTATTATCTCGAAGAAAAATGATTAATTTCAATTTATCTCGTCCAAATTACGTTGTTTATTTTTTTTACAGCTGATTATGACGTTGATCCGGACTCTGCCGAATCACGCCGACGACGAGATCTGGCATAAAGTATTATGACGTCATTAGTATATGTGTTTGGGTAAAGAGTTGTGGCTACACCGTCGGGAAGTTAATTAATGGTGAGTCTCGATTCTTCGCTTTTAAAATGGATAATATAGTTTTGAAATGCTTACGAAACATCTATTAGAGTTTATAATAAGATAATTTATATCATAATAAGCTAGCTAGCGAGCGATGTCGTCGTTAATATTCGCGAAAATGGCGTCGGAATTCTAGTTGTCTGCTGAAATCAAGCTTTAATGTAATTAATATGGAAACAACGATCTGTTGCGCCAAATAAATGAAAGATAACGACTCGTGAAATTCTCAAAATGGCATATTTTCTTGCTTTGTCTTCCCGTATACCATGCCAATTGTATTATATTTTGCCTATCTAATCAATTTCCATATTTATTTTTTCAATTGAAAATAGTAAATGATGCGTTAAAGGTTTTAAATCATAAATTAAGTTAAGTTTTTTAGAAAGAATGAGCAATGTAGATATTTAGTTTCAATTTTTCAATGTATATCAGTTAAAACTTAACACATTTCTTCTATAAATTGATTTCCTAATTATCCTTTTGATAAAAATATAAACTAATTCAGAATTACTGTAATTACAAAGTTTAATTCATTACTTCAACAGCAGAAATATTTAATACTGATTTAAATGATGTAAATATAAAGCATTTGTATATTGAAATTATTGGTTATGGATAAAGGTGTATTGAAGCTAGTTTTAATGTAATTTGAAGATTGTTAATTAAAATGTAACTATAACAGAGTTAAGATATAAACTATCGGAGTGAAGAATCAATAAATTGCAGACGTTCGTTACGGAGAATATCTGATATGTTTGATAAATGCCATAATGTTTTAGTTTTAAACAATTACAAACATTCCATATTAAGTTTTTTTTTGAATTATCAAAGAATATGAATATTATAAGGTTTTAAACTATTAAAAATAATGTAGAAAATGAAGTTTCTGTTGTGATAATTTCTTCAATGTTCCAAGAAAGTTTAGGAGAATACTTAGATATATAAAAATTCTTTAAAATATGATTGCAGAATTTTTATATATCTAAGTATTCTCCTAAACTTTCTTGGATACACTTGCAAAACAATAAATTATTATTTTAAATTACATTGATACCATTATAGAGAATAACTTTTAATATGGTTCAGACATTAAACATTAAAAAATTCTTCTTACATGGAGAACAATTAAAGAATTTACAAGTATAGTGAATCAAAATAGATTTTTACCAAATTTTCTATGATGATCTTCAGTGTGATTTAGAATTATTTAGTTTCTTGAACTGAAATCCAAAGTTTATTCTTATTTTCAGAAATTATATTTAACAAAGTGATTTGTGTAAAAACTTCAGTACAATATCCAAAGTTTAACTAAACATATTATGAGAATGATATTTAAGTGATATTTTAATTATTTATGAAATAATAAATGAAAGAATAACATTACTGAATATAAAATGGATGGTTGAATTACAAAAGTGGATTTAACTGTTTGAGAAACTTTGTGAGAAAGTAGTGATCTAGTCAACAAAAGATTGGAAATATTTGTTAAACTAAATATTATATTTGCTAGTATTCATAGAAATAATGTAGTAATTTTCATCAAAAAGTATTTGATAATATACAACACAGATGCACACTTCAATAATACTTAAAAGTATTTTAATTTATATATATTTTTTTCTTTACCAAGACAACTTATATAAAAAATAAACATTTTATAAAATTTAGAGATAATTATATTCATATAATGATATCAGAAATAAAAATTACAATTTTACAAAATGATTGTAAAATTTATTTTGACCAGTCTAAATTGTATTGAACTCTTGGAAATTCTGCATACCTTATATAAACTAGGATAAGAATAAATATCTTATTATCATCATTAATATTAAAGAACAACTTTAGCTTTAAGATTAAAGTAATACTAGTCAAACAAAAAAAATTTCCATTATTTAGTGTGTCTTTGAAATTTAAATACTATTACATATTGAAATTAAATAATAAGTATACATTTGAAAAAGACATTTCTATGTATAATCTAACATTTTTGCTAAATTTTAAAAATAATTCAATGAAAATTTCTGAAGATTTTAAATATTATATGCTACTATTAAAAGTTTGATTGCATGTTATAATTTATAAAATTTACTCAATAAAAATGCAGTTTATTCTATGAAAAATATAAAAGTTATTTGAAATTCTATAATTTTTAATATTGACTAATTTTGTGTGGTACAAGAAGTTAATGGATTGGCATTATACATAAGATTTATTAAAATTATACATTGTTTTCAATAAATATTTGATGTATTGTTGACATTAAATCTACTCTTTTATTATCTTGAATTTAATAACTAAAGTCAGATTAATTTTTGTGAAGGCATTTCTTCATTTCTTAAAATAAAACTAGTTGCAATATGAATGAAAAATAATATAATATAATCAAAGTTTTAAAAACATTGTTCTATTAGATATGTCACTATTTTAGGTTTATCAAAGGGTTAAAATTAATTTCTGAAAAATTTTGAATATTCTAATCAATATAGCCTAATATTAGTACAAAGAAAAGAATAATTGATTTTAAGAAAATTCTTTTAATATTTTATGCTTTAATACACATTAAATGTATTAACAAATGGTTATTTTCATGAACTAATTAAAATATTAGATTCAGAAGATCTTTTTAAAAAAACATGTGCTAAAGTTATGATATAAACCTTTTTCTAGAACTAGTAATATACAAATATTTTGAATCCTTAACTGTGAAATATTTTTGTGGTTTATGTATATTTTTTGATTTTCAGAAGCAACATTCATCAAATGTTATTTAGCATTTTTTTCAATCTTATTAACTGTTGTTGTTTTCTAAATTTAAATTAGATTTAGATTTAAATAGTTAGAAATAAGATGATGATTTTTATTCTATTGAATCATTACCGTATTAAGCTTGTATCAAACTGTTTCTATCTAAAAATCAGAACAAAATATGAATCTTGTATCTTAAATGTTGGGATTCTCATCTTATGTTTACTTTTTCTTAAAAATATTTTTTTATATATTAAGAAATATTTAATATAGTATTGGACCAAATATCTGGCTTTCATAAATCCAGAATTCTCAGAAAAATTAGCTACAGTAGAAACTTGTTTTAACAGATCATGGAATAACATTTTTTTTTTCAGGTCCTGCCAAATTAATGTAACTTTACCTCCTTTTAGTGGATCTATTACACACATTAACAGATTTTTTCTATTCAAAATCTATTGTGAGCTTTGTTTTTTTTTTGACATTTAGTTAATATTTGAGCGTTTCTGGAAATTTGTAGAGTTTGGTGATGCAATTGTTACATTTGGGATATGTACAGTTGAATTGTACGAAGAGAGTCAGCCAACTGATATGATTGAGGAGGAGTCACCTAGTAAACACATGCTAATCCAAGTGTAGTGCCGAAATTTAGTGAGGCCATCAAGTATTTCCAAGTCATGAAGACTTTCTTGATGAGTTTCAGCATGAACAAACAAATTGTACTTGGCATGACATTGCTAATATTAAACAGTGTTGTATTCAATAGACAGAAAAGCAACATCAAAAGAAACCAAGAAGGATGTATTTTTTAATAAATCATGAAGTCAAGCAAAGTGCTGATGATCATATATAAATTGCCTCTCTTTACACTTACAGTATGTACAGTTTACGTCATCTTTGTCATACACACGTATGATAAAGATGGCATAACATACACGTTACAAACATGTTTCTATAGGATAAAGAATAGAGATCATAAGAGACTGAATAATTTCAAGTACTGGTATTTCTTATATATAGGGGTTAAAAAACAAATTTTTTCGAATAACAGATATTTTTCTATTTTTCTGGATGTGAAGGAAATTTGTTGTTCATGATATAACAGATTCTTGGAACAATGGATGATTTTCAGCAGCCTGAGCAATCCATTAAAATAAGATTCTTCTGTATTTTTCAAACTGGCTAGTTTTGAATTTGGTAGGCTAATCCATTACGTGACCTCTTTCTTTTGATTTTTGTGGCACACACTGCATCACACCAGTTCCAATGTGACTACTAGAGCCAATGTCCAGAAAACCAAAAACTCTTACAAGCGTGGGATCAGATATTTGGTCCAGTACTATATTTATGTTCAGATACATAAAAGTTTTGATTCACTATACAACTAAATATAATCATATTTCCTCATTATCTCAACTTTAATGTGTTATTTTTTAACTTAAAAAATAATTGTGTTTATTTTTAACTTAAAAAATAATTGTGTGTTGAATAACACAGATCTTTAAAATAGTAGTTTTCTTTTAGATGATGATCTAAATTTTTAAATTTGTTAGTGATTTTACTTTATAAAAATAAATTCAAATTGTTTTTAAATGAGAATGAAAAGATTAATGTTTTCTCTTAACATTATAAATTCAATTAAGATATGGAAAATGAATGTCACTTCAATTAATTCATGATTTTGAAGATAAAATGTTTTTTTGCTGAATATAAGTTCACATTTTAAACTTACTGGTTTAAACTTGATTGTCACTATCAAAACAAAAAGGATAGTTTGCATTAGCATTAAAAAAAAAAAATAAATCATTACTAACTATTTGTCAGTACTAGATTTTCTAGATATACAACTATTGAATATGTAATTAAAAAAGCTACAAAATATGATTGTTTACGAAAAATTTTTAAAATGATTGTAAATAATTTGAATGTTTGAAAAGAATAATTTTATTACTATAATAATTTGTTTTAGATTTAGTGAATTTAGAGTAAGAATAGTTTCTATGTAGAATTAGCATTAACCTAATTAAAATAAAAGAACTCAACAAAAGCAACTCTGAACAAACAATATTCAACTTCTCAATAATATAAAACAAATAGATTCAAGATATAATCACTCAGTCAACCAGCACATATTGGTTACACACATCTGGTCGTCATTACAGTTGTTTATGTAAAAATAACTTAATAAAGCTCAATTTTGCAAAAATTACTTTTCTATTATTGAATATACAAATATCTTAAAACAATCATCAGCAACAATTATAATTTTATAATTTATGGGATAAATTTTTCACTTAACATCTTGATTGTGTAAGCAATTATTAAATTAGTAAGGTAATGATAAGTAAGTAAGGTAATAATAGTGTAATAAATTAACTATCTGAATTTAATGTAATAAATGAAAAAATAATGTAACTAAATATAAATATTTTTTTCTATTATAATCTGATCTGGATCTTCAGACCAGACTGAAGTTTTTGTAGGATATTCTGGATTGGTTTGTTTCTCATACCTTTATTCATACCATTTAATGAAGTTATATATAAAAATGTTACATGAATTTTAATCATCATAGATTTATGCTAATCAAAATGAAAATTTACATTTTTAATTATTAGAATTTATCTTCAGAAAAAAAGTTTGGATCAAAAATCATTTTGGACTCTAATAACTTTTGTAGAAATATAAACACAAACACTTTGAATTCATATTAAATTAATATTGAATCCAATAATTATTTAACCTAATTTTCAAAATCAGTACTTTTATAACTGTTAAAGACAGAGAGAAAATCTAGCTTACAGATTAGTAATACAAGTCTGTTATGCACAGAATAACTTTTGTTTTGAAATAACAAAACTGAGAAATGAATATTTTTAGCATTATGCTTACACAAAAAGATAATGTCTGATGTGCTTTGGAATACTGTTGCCTTCCTAAATACACAAAACAGATCTTGTATGAATACATAGAAGTACAGTCCACTTATATAATATGCTATTTATAATCATTCACTATTTAAACCACTATGATCATTTGTATCAAATACAAAGCTGTCCACCTGGTATATTGACAGTCATATAAACATTGTGTTTACTGCAGAAGATAAAAATAATGATCATTTCTTGACTGTTTTTGTTTAACTTTGAAATAAATTTAATGCATGGCTAGCTTTTCTCAATAGTTTAATTTGAATTTTTCCCTCATCTTTAACACTTAAGTTAGTACTTGCTTAACCTCTGAAAATTAGATTAAGGTCATTGGGATAATCTTTATCAGATTCAGCATTATTAATTTATTTATGTGTAGAAATAGACTCCTGTTTTTGAATTTATATTTTTATAGATGTTACTACAGTCCAAAAGCTTCTGGCCATTCAATTTTTGAGAACAACTTTGGTTCAATTTTAAAAGAAAGCAATCTTTTACAAAATTCATTTCAAATTGTTTTTATTTATTTTGGCATGATAATAAGAGATAGTTGTGTTTTTCAGTAATAAATTTAAAGACAGTTTTTATTTTTATTAACATTTTATTTAGAAAGTCAAAAGACATACATAAATTTAAAGCACAAAAATATTAAAATGCAAAACTTATTTTATGTAATGTTTCTTTAATTTGTATTTATTTATAATTAAGTATTTCACATTATACAGTTTTTTTAAAAAAGTTAGCTTGCAATGCCCTCAAAAGTAAGATTGGTTAATGTATTGTGTGTACTTGAGTGTAAAATTTTATTCGTTTTTAATATGTTGTTATATATGAAATTACTATTGTGTTAAAATTAGTTACATTAATTTTTTCAATAAAATTTTAATTTCAGAGATATTGATTTTCATTCATTCTTATTTAATTACCACAAATTAATCCATATTTATAAAATTCATTGGATGAGAAATAACCCTGCATGAATTAACTTTTTATGTTTAATTTTTTTTTTAATTTAAAATTTTAATGAACTGTTCTAGGGAATACTAAGAAGGATCTGAATTGAAGTTATTAATAACAAATAGAAGTTTCATTAGTATCTTGCATTACACATGATATAAGGAATGGTTATATTTTCTGTAACATCAGATGATATGACAGAATATGAAACAATATTTCTATAGAAAAAAACTTGATTATTATGAATAGTATAGTAGTTTAAATAATCATATGAATGGTACTGTGTTCAGATTATTTAGCTGCTATGTAGATAAATACATAAGAGATTAACTACATTTAAATTATACATTTTTATTATTAAATAAAAACAACTTTATTTTACTATTCAAATTTTATGGAGATTTTTTTTTTTTTATATTGCATGTTTAAATTTAACTACAGTATTTATAATTAATGGACTTGGTTGAGAGTTTGTAGTTATAGTCCAGGGATGGAAAACCTTTTTGAGTCCATGTGACATATGGTAAGCTTAATTATCTTGAAATATTTAACATGCCAAAGGTTTAAACATATGATTTTTAAAGAAATAAAATGAATATGTTTTAATTAGAAAAAAATGTAAAAAAGCTGATTGAGAAAAGTATGACAGTATACTAAACTGAATATAAAACCATAATAAAAAGCTGAAATTAAGATAAATTGAAATTTAATGGGTAAGAAATAAATGAAATCATATGGCATGTTGCATGCCAAAAAATTTTTATCAACAAGCCTCTTTGGGCACATTTGCCATCTTTTTTATAGTCTGATCTACTAGATTAATTGGTCAAATATAATTTGTTAGAAAATATTTTAATATTTTATTTAGCAATTTATTTTATTGTGATAAATTATGTGAATATTTGTTCTGTAAAATGATTTATTATTCATCATTACAGCTTTATCTAAAATTTATTTTTAATTATGTATGTATATATAACTTTGCATTTGCTCAACAAGTTTACTTTAAAATGGAAATTGCATTTGTCCTATAAATTGTATATTGATTATATATATTTTAAACATTTATTTTTCAAATTGAAGAGTTCTTTTCCAAATAACCATAAGTAACTTTTCTAAAAACTTTGTTTCACTGGTCACTAGATATTGGAAATGTATAATAAATAATTTGCACAATTATAGTTTACAAAACAATATTTCTGAAAAATTCTGACTCATAATATTTGGAGGAATTGACAGTACAAATATCATTATCAATTTTCTTTGAAAATCTCCAATATAGTCAAAAATAAGTTGCAGACATTTGAAAAAACCTCTTTAATTATTAAAATGTAGTTTATAGAACATCTTTTATAAGCTATACTCATTTTTAAGAGTTCTTAAGTATATTTAAGAGTAAACATAAACATATGTGCACACATTAAATTACAACTTTACATAGTTTTTTTGAATATTAAGGATTTATTTTTCATAATATATTCCATAATTATCATTAAATTTGGTTGTTCTAATATTTTAAATAACAAACTTGATAAACACACTAAATATTCTACTTCTGAAAAACAAAATTCCCTATTCTTATCTGCACTGTGTATAAAATATAATTTTTGCTGAAATTCAAAAGTTTTCATTTATTTACATACAAATTGTGTATGTATATGTATGTATATAATACACACACAATGTTATAACTTTGGGAAATTTACACATGTAAAAATGTTTATTGTATTTTAGAAATTATCCTAAATCAACATACACCAAATGTATATAATAAAAATTGAAAATATTAAATATTTTATAAAATTGCAGATTTTTATAATTGACGTTTTTGTTTTAAGTAAAATATGTTGTATTAATATTATTTATTATGTTAATTAGTTTAAAATCTATTTTATAAAATAGATTTTAAATAANTTAATAATTTCTAAGCTTCAAAATATAAAAGTTTGGTAGGCATTACTGAAAGAGAAACAAAGAACTTTTAACAAGCAATGAATGAAATGAATTAGTTCATGTTATGCTTCATTCATTAAGCAACATGATAAAAAGATAACTTGAGAATTATTGTTCAGACAAAAGTCTTCTATTGGAAGCTTTTCTTGCTTGTGACATCAATGAAGGCCATAAGGGCAATGGCCACTATAATTTTTGTTTTTAATTTTATTTGTATTGGATGACCTGTCTTGCTAATTTTCTTTAATTGGCTACACCACTTTAAAGTACATCTAATCTCATCCTGTGACATTCAACTTTTATTTTTTTCCCTAGGTGAAATTGAGAGGCAAGTCTGAAGTGCTGCTGGTCACACTATCGACCATTGTTCTGGAATTGGTTACTGTGTCGTGAACTTCCTGCTCCTCCTGCTCCAGACACACATCTCTTTTCTGAACTACCTCTTGATCATATACCGTGAACTATGAAAATGGTGTTGTCTCAAAGGCAGCGGGAAGAGCTGTAAGTATTGCTCATTAGACAGAAAAAATTACCAGCGACATTTTAATATCTTTAAATTATTTATGCATTATGAAATACATTCGTTTATGCATATTATAATCAATTGTTCTGTAATATAAAGTTAATCGCAAGTTTTATGCAATGTTTAACTATTCTAAAAATGAGTTATAGCGGTCAAGGTTATTTTGACCTAAAATTTTCACTACCCAAATACATCGGGAAAACATTAAGGTTAATATCAACGGGAAAAAAGACAACTAGTCTCCCTTAAAAATAACAATGTCCTCTCTGTATAGGGCGTTGCCGGATAACGATTTTTGCTAAAAGATGGACGAGTTTCGTGACGAAAATTCTCTATGTGGGTGTAGTGCAGATTATCAGTTCCCCTTTTCTTTCCCTTAACCGAGTTCGGCTGGTTGATTGACGGTCATCAACCCTCTTTAATTCAGATTACCGTTTTTATTTATCGAGTGTTTAAGAATATCTACGTGTAATGAAGATCAAGTATCGTGAAAATTGTTACATATGAATCGTAACAAACTGTTTTGTTTTGAAGGGAATGGTTACGATTTGGTTGTTTCAAGGTCAGTAGTTTAGATAATTGAAATTGTTGAAATCGGTAGACATTTGACATTCGATTGTTTCGCATCTTCAAGGACACGAAAGCTTTTGAAGTGGGATCGTAGGTCGAATTCTATTCTTTAGACTCTATTCCATTACCCCTTTCAGATCTTACTCGCATTTGACCCACTTCCTGCACCCTGCTGACCTATATCCGATGTTCCTGTTTATATTGCAAGTTCTACATCTTTCTACATTTCTACATCTGGAGATACGCAGAATATGAAATTGCTAAGATCGCGCTTAATTCGGTATACAGTAGTAACTTTCCAACACGTTTAATAAATTTGGTTAAGAAAGAAGATACCTTTAAAATTATTTTCAGAACTATATTTTTATATTTATTTTTTAACAGTTTTTAGATTACATTTTGTAAAATATAAGTTTGAAAGTCAAAATATTTTCAAAACTTTTCCAGAATAATTTCATCTTTTTTCCTTTTCTTCCTCTTCAAAAACTTGTTTGTTGAATGTATTTCGTACCTGTTTATAAATTAGTGCATACTAGTCTAACCCAGTTTTTATGAAACTTTTCATATATGATGATATTTTGTACCGGTGGCTTAATTTTTAATGTGTCACGAGTCTCAACCTCAAATGATGATTAACTAGATATAAAATTATCATCATTGTGGATATTTCGTTGCTATGACTACCCGACTAGGTGTGTCGCCGCACCCCATTTCTCGACTTTTTACAATTGATCAAGAACTGGTGAAATAAAAAATTTGGAAAATAAAGACCATTTTATCTCATCAAATCTCTGTCTTGTCTGATAGTTTATTGGAGATGATATACTGTTAATATATTAAGATAACTTGTATTATAATTTTATATTAAATGTTCTAATTATATTAAATCTTTTTTTAGGTATAATATATCTGATATTTGCTAGTTTTTGCAATTATATATAGAAGCAATATTTTGGTTAATGTAAACGAATGTTATAAGTTTATTATTATCCACTTTGTGGAAGTGATATCGTATTGGTCATTAGAACTGTCGAATCGAATCGGAGGATCTTACGTTCTATCCGATATCGTTATTTTGGAATAAGTTTAAAACTCTGTCAAGGTCTCGTCCCGTTTTTATTTGAAACTTGGCATTCCAAATTTGGTGATGCGTGGCTACTCAAGGTAGTCCTATGATAATTTATCACGATTGAGGCAGATTAGCTCACGTATTAGTCATTGTCCGATCACATGACCGGTCATTCAATCCAGTTTAGTTTCATTTTGGGTATAGTGATTTGTTGATTTCATGTAATAATTGAATTTGGTTAACTCAACTTAAAATGTTTTCAATAATTTCCAGATCATTTTTTTTAAATATTTAATGCTTGCCGTAATTAAAATTACGGCAAGCATTAAATATTAAAAAATTTCACTGCTGATATTCAATGTTTTACGTACAATTAAATAGTTACGTTAACTGGTATATGTATATTCTTTAATATTAAAAATGCATACATTATGTTAAAATTATTTGATTAAAAGTAATCAAGTGTAAAAGTTAATAGCGTAATTATAATTTTGCGAGCGACAAATATATTGAAAATTAAATGAGTAAAATATATTGAAATAATCAAAATTGATTGGTCATTTGGTAACGAGGATGCTGGTGCTCGAATATTAATTCATGACGTTTGAGAAACAATCCGTTCGCCCGTACATTGGGGCACGTCCCTCCATTTGTCGTCGGGTTGCCCTTTTCTTAATCCCCAATGGAGTTCTAGGGTTTCATTTTATTTTTAGTCACTAATTTTTATCACATAAAACATTTTTTACTGATGACAAAATTAAAATACTGTAAAAATATTTGTTTATTAACCGAAAATTTGTTCTAGCGGTCATGATTGGTCGGTCGAGTACCGAAGTACCACTGTATTTGATAGTACTGTATCATCAAACAGCATCAAGGGATTAATTAATTCCGTTAATCAGGATACCTGTACATATATATGTATCTTCTTGCGTAATGTATACATACGATGCCCTGTTTTATAACTTGTGCCTCCCCTTTTTTTTATACCGGTAGTCTGCGAGCGCCTCTGGAAATAACTACATATGATAGTTATCACGAATAAATCATAAATCATTTCGAACTTATCAATTAACGAAAATAATCTGAAGTTAAGAATTAGTTAATACGAAAGATGTTCAAAACCTACAAATAAACGTAAGACATATTTTTATAGACTACGAAAATACGTCCGTAATGCTGATTTTCAACTTTTACTTGATTATTTTTAAATAAACGAATTAAGAAATACATAAATGCATTGTTTTATAACACAAATTAGTAATTCGAATTTTTTTCAAATATTCGGCTGTTAAAGAAGTACTTAATAGTTATTTGTATTCTAATTTGTTTGGATATGATTCATGTTACTAATATGTTTTCGTTAACATTTTATTACATAACTAATATTTTCTCCAGTTGTTATTCAGAATAGTTAAAATTTTTCTGCTGGATTATCACGTGACGTATGTAACCACATGATCATCCTTCATACCATTAAAGAAACGTAAATGATACATAATCATGTACAATTATACATGTAAAATTAATGTAGTAGAATCCACTTATTGTAACCATGGATTTTGTTACAGTAGCAAGCAGTCAAAACGATTAGATTAAAATACGCGTACAAAACTTCTCGTATTGTAATGAGTTTTGATTATACAGTAGTTATTTTCTTCAGATAGGCATTTTAAGCCGTCTTTTCGCGCCAACAGCTGTTAATCTCAACGTGTGGCTGATAATTTGCAGTTATCAACTATCGTTATCAATCTTAGCCAGTAGTCTTTAAATATATTCCTTTTAATTGATATTTGTTCTCAGTACAGTAGTCTCAATTGTTGGCCTATCTTTCTTCAAATATATACTAGCTACTGTTAAAGACGATACTGGAAAACAGCAGATAAAGTTTAAACAGTACGATTTGTGATATACCGATACAATACAACTACTTGTGTTTTATATTCATAATTATAAATGCTTTGTTCGAAATTATTAGTTAAAAATGAAATACCTGTAGTTATATGACAAGACAAATAGACAATAAATAATATATATTACAATGAATATTTTAATTGGAAATTTTGTTTTTCTCTTCTCTCAGTATAACAAGTTCTAGTTCATAAAAACGTCCAAAGTGGACAAAAGTATAAGTAATTAAGGACAATAAGCACGTATCAACACGTACTGTTTAAACTTTGTCTAAGACTATATCTTAAACCACACTCACTACATTCCATTTTATTTAACGTATAACGAGTTCCTCGATGTTAACAGTACGATAAACAAATGATAAACGTGCTATTTTACTCTTCGAATCAGGCGAAAAGACTGACGTTGCGCATGAAAAAAAAATCATTCATTTATAAGTACTGTAATCTAAAAATTTAACTTATTTTCATTTTTAACTAATACAAATTACGAATAAAGCATTCATAATTTGTAGCTATGACCAGAAAATATTACAAATCGAGTCCCTATTTGTAACTATTTACATTTGAACATAACTAATAAATAATACTTGGAAATTTCAACAAATAGCACTTTTATGTATACAATTTCTAATAGCACAGGCCCATTTTGTCTGGCATTTGACATAACTGCTCGGGCCAGTCTGCCCGAGTCATTCGAATTTTTGGTAAAGACATTTTTTTTTTTATTATCGCGTATGATTTGACAAGTAATTTTGTAAAATGTAAAAAAATCGTCCTTTTATAATTTATTATTTATATGAAGAAGTTCTGTCACATTTGGCTGTCGAAAAATGGATATTATTAACCTTTTCAACGGCAACTCTGTTGTCCATCTGTCGACCTTGCATTGTTGTGTTCTAACATTCGTTCAGAATTCGTAACTTTAATTTTGAAAATATGATCAGCGTATTTTTTTAAAAATAAAAACTGTTTAATGATTCTGTAAATTATATTTTGAATCTTGCTTCCAAGTATTCCTATATTCCTTGTGAAATACTGGCTTGAACTTAAAACACTTAAACTTGAATTACGATGTATTTGCAGTTTACAATACTTAAAATTCTAATTTACACGTGTGTATTTTAAAATCAGGATGAGTTAAAAATCAGGATTGGGTCTGCCCTCCATTAGTCCGGAATTTCGACACTTCACTGTGTACTGTATTAATATCGCAGTTATTGAAAAGTATCTTCATATTGTTAAATATAATTCTGTTAAAAGAACAAATCAGTTTGAATTAAATAACATTATAATATAATAACAAGTACAAAAAATGTATAAAATTTTATTTATGTAATGAAATTAGCGAAGAATATTTATAAAATATATTATAAAAATATTGAGCTTAATATTTTGAGAAAAAGTTCTTATCAAAATGTATTAAGAT